ATTCGTTAGAATAGTTAATAACGATGACGTGGATCACGCGCAGATATCACCTGGGGCAACCAAACTATGCTCGCATTGACGTTAACGAGAGAGGGTTGCTCTTACAACGGACAGAGCGTTTATTTTTCCATCGCGATCTTCTCTCCATGTTTTCCCTCATTTTCAATTATCCGTGCGCAATTCACTTCTACAGACTTTCACACATGTCCAGAACCTTGGATTATACCGTATCGCGAGTACCTAGAATGTCCGACACGAGATATCCATCAGATCAACGACGCGCGCTTATCGTTGTCTTTACCCTGGACACGTAGACAGGTGACTTACCCCTGAGCAAACTAATAAGGGAAAAGCCCGTTCGAGTTAGTGAGATCATTAAACTGCAGGGGCCGCGATACACAGGCTAAAATTGAAGTCTAACTCTAAGGTGAACTCGTTCTCAACTACGGTTAACCTTTCATGACACTTTGACCTCGACTCGTACACGCTTTTACCGAAGAACCGCCCTCGGTTTCTAGATCGAAAGTCGAATTATCGATTACCGTCCGACGCGGAGCCTAACATTTCTCCGCAACCTTTTGTACCCTTCCACCTTTTATTCCTTTTGCCCCTCTCTACTTGGCCTCTTCTTACGCCGCTACTCGGCCAGACTCCGCTTTTCGTTCAGAGAGAATCGGAGAAGTGCAATTAAAAGTTGTTACCAACGTATCCCGAAACGAGGTTTAATCGTGGTTGTGCTTCTTAGCAGTAATTAAAGTTCATTGATGAATGAACGAGCCCACCCTCTTTTATCTCGAGCCCAGCGATTCGCCGCGCAAGTTTCCCTCTATAATTTATCATTCTATGCCTATTCGACGATTCGTAGATCGTCGGTCGTTTACCATCTAATAAAATTATTCGGACAAAGAAAAAAAGAAGAGGAAGAAGAATGTCACACGTGACCACCGTTGCAACGTAAGAGTACTTTACACAGTTGTTTTCCCGCATAGAATCATCTGTCTGTTCGTACAGGTGCCCTCGAGATAACGAAAATTCCGGCGTATCGTAAAATTTGTAAGTGTACCCGGCCGATAAGAAACTGACGAACTTTCACAATTTTATCGACGCTTCCGTAAAATTTATATTTGCTTACTTACAGACCAGAATGTAATTCTTCCCCTCTGGTAATAACTTCAGCGTTCCCGTACATCGACAGCCGCGATAAAAGGACCACAAAATGAGTATGAAATGCCATTGCGATCCGAGATAAAACTTTTCCATCAAAACTCCCTGTTCGCCCTCCGCTATTCGCATTTCGCTCGTTCAGCCGATTTCGCGACCCGTCTCGATTCCCATCGGTCTAAATCGGCGCCCGACGATTTTTTTTCTTTTTCTATATCCCCCTGACAACTACCTCTACGCTAGCTCCGATACCTTCTCACCTTTTCCCTCCTGTTATATTACAGGTTACATCAGTTCAATAGAGGATTATCCTACTCTCTCGTAACCATACGGGGAAGAATGAAGTGCGATGCATAGGGACGGTTCTTTTTTTGTCGCTGCGCATCATAGGAGGAAGACGTCAGAAGAGGAGGGTTGAGGCGAGGATTAATGGTGCGCGTCATACGTACCCCGCGCAGAGGACATCGAGAGGCAAGGGGGATGTGCAGTTTCGAATGCGGTAGGTGCAACCGTGCAGGTAGGACACGCAATGCAGTTTCGTGGAAATTAGGTCAGCGAGTTTTCGGGTTAGACAGAGACAGTGGGTAAGGGATGAGTAGCAGAGAGAGGGGCGGAGAAAGGGAGAGAAAGAGAGGGAGAGTTTGGCGGGAGAGAAAGGGGGATCGATGGTGAGAGGAAGAGGGAGAGAGAGGGAGGAAAACGAACGCGTAACCAGAGGGTTGCTGGACCGGGGTTAGAGGTTGTCGTCATCGTGGTGGGTGGCTAGGAGGAGGAGGAGGAGGGTTGCCGCGAGATATCGTGGGTCAGACCGCACCGAGAGAAGGACATCGTGCCTCTTGGAACCACGGAAGGGAAAAAGGGAAAAGGGGAGAGTAAATGTATGTAAATTAAACGTCCCTCGACTTTATTTAGCGCGAGAGTTTAAAGGAGCTACCTACCTTGCTTCTCGTCGGGGTCTCGCTGAATAAGAAACTTTCGCGAATAACGCGGAGGCTAGTGAACAGAATGAAAAGAAGATACATACATATACGATTCGTATCTCGCTTGTTTTCTCGGTTACCGTTCTACAAATTTTCGCCATTCCGATCTTCTTAATGTTCCGCCTGTGCGAAATGTCAGGGGACTAGACACGTGTGCCCCCGCGTCTCGTAATTTTAACGACACGTTCGGAATAACAGCTAGACGCGAAATACTTTCCTGTCCTGGTGGTTGCTTCATTATCAACGCCGGGTAGAGTATTATGGTGGTCTGTAATTAACGTTCCGCGGTGGTGAATAGAGCGGGTGCCATTCGAAACCAGTTCGGAACGGATGAAACGGTCCCTTCTCCCTTTGATTCGTAAAACCAGGCCGGAAGTCAGCGGTCGCGCA